TAAAATCAAAGTATAAAAAACAGTGCGGCGCTTATATCAAATATAACCCTTACACCACCTAATAATAGGTAGCCCAAATAGCCATAACACATATATATATGATAAGTAGTAAGCTGGTGATAACATGCGTACAAACAGCTTATGCGTGCACTATAGTGACTAAAACACAATATAGTGGATGGTGTCCATGTGTATAAAATATCATGCAGGTGTATGCTGCAGGTGCCAATCCTCAGACAGGTGAAGTGCCCCCTCACCTTCCTGCCCAGCCCCCAAGGATCAATGAGCCTTTGGATATATACTGGATGTTTCCCCTGAGGTTGGATGGATCCTTCTGCTGGTGGGTTCCTCAGATGCCAATGATGGACCTCTCCTCCTCTTATCTCCTATATGGATCGTTGGTGGTATCGATAAGTCTCCCTCCCACACGATCACAAATGAGGAAAGAGAGTTTGCATAGTGTAAAACAGCTTTATTAGATAAATATAAAAACCAGAGATCTACTCACATGCTTCTACATGAAAGTCAGGCCTTCACACCACTCAAAGGGTGTACTGCATTCAGGACCAGGTGCAACAAGATGGCGCCCGCGCCGGATGTGACGTCAGAACGTTTCGATCGTATAAGCTCCTCCCCCTGGCGTATCTACGCATTACATCACTTACACACGTGACTTCATCAGGATAACCTTTGAGTGGTGTGAAGGCCTGACTTTCATGTAGAAGCATGTGAGTAAATCTCTGGTTTTTATATATTATCTAATAAAGCGGTTTTACACTATGCAAGCTCTCTTTCCTCATTTTGTGATCGTGTGGGAGGGAGACTTATCGATACCACCAACGATCCATATAGGAGATAAGAGGAGGAGAGGTCCATCATTGGCATCTGAGGAACCCACCAGCAGAAGGATCCATCCAACCTCAGGGGAAACATCCAGTATATATCCAAAGGCTCATTGGTCCTTGGGGGCCTGGGCAGGAAGGTGAGGGGGCACTTCACCTATCTGAGGATTGGCACCCTGCAGCATACACCTGCATGATATTTTATACACATGGACACCATCCACTATATTGTGTTTTAGTCACTATAGTGCACGCATAAGCTGTTTGTACGCATGTTATCACCAGCTTACTACTTATCATATATATGTGTTATGGCTATTTGGGCTACCTATTATTAGGTGGTGTAAGGGTTATATTTGATATAAGCGCCGCACTGTTTTTTATACTTTGATTTTCTGTACATTGTTGGTGTTAAGATTGTGGCACCTTTAGTGCTGGCTGCTGAATTATATTAGTTTATTTAGTGGCGCAGGAGAGACACCTCTTTTATTTCTCTGATTTGTACACGTTCCTTCCTTTTTCCAGCAGTATTCCGTTTATTCACAACAGGTGCTGTTAGATTCTGTTGCTGCTGTGCACTCTTTCATTAAGAAAGGGAAATGCAAACTGACCTTAGTTAAACCTCTGCTGCAAGCCTGGGCAGAGATCCTATCCTCAGTGTTAGATGATCCACACAAAGTTAGATCTGCCTCTAAACATCAAGAATCTCTTCCTTTGTTACGCTTAGCAACCAAAGCTGCTACTGAATGTTCCTTGCCTCCTGTAGATCAGTACTCTGCCATCAGTTTGCTCCTATGGCTGCTGACAGGGCCCAGTCTGCCCCTATGGCTGCTAATGGGATCCAGTATGCCCCTATGGCTGATGCTGATGGGGTCCGGTTTGCCCTTATGGCTGCCAATGGGATCCAGTCTGTCCCTATTGCAGCCACTGGTAAGGGACCAGTCTGCCCCTATGCCTGCTGATGGGGTCCAGTCTGCCCCTAGGGCTGCCTCTGGTGACCTGCTGTCCTCAGCCAGGCCTGCCTCTGGTGACCTGCTGTCCTCCGCCATGCCTGCCTCTGGTGACCTGCTGTCCTCCGCCAGGCCTGCCTCTGGTGACCTGCTGTCCTCTGCCAAGCCTGCCTCTGGTGACCTGCTGCATTCTGCCAAGCCTGCCTCTGGTGACCTGCTGCATTCTGCCAAGCCTACCTCTGGTGACTTGCTGTTCTCAGCCAGGCCTGCCTCTGGTGCCCTCTTGTCCCCATCCCAAGCCTGCCTCTGGTGACCTGCTGTCCCCAGCCCAAGCCTGCCTCTGGTGACCTGCTGTCCCGAGCCAAGCCTGCCTCTGGTGACCTGCTGTCTTCAGTTAAGCCTACCTCTGGTGACCTGCTGTACTCAGCCAAGCCTTCCTCTGGTGACCTGCTATCCCCAGCCAAGCCTTCCTCTGGTGACCTGCTGTCCCCAGCCCAAGCCTTCCTCTGGTGACCTGCCATTCTCATCCAAACCTGCCTCTGGTGACCTGCTGTCTTCAGTTAAGCCTACCTCTGGTGACCTGCTGTACTCAGCCAAGCCTGCATCTGGTGACCTGCTATCCCCAGCCAAGCCTTCCTCTGGTGACCTGCTATCCCCAGCCAAGCCTTCCTCTGGTGACCTGCTGTCCCCAGCCCAAGCCTTCCTCTGGTGACCTGCCATTCTCATCCAAACCTGCCTCTGGTGACCTACTGTCTTCAGTTGAGCCTGCCTCTGGTGATCCGTTGCTTGTTGTCAGGCCTGCCTCTGATCTGCAGTCCACTGCCAAGCCCTACTCTGATGACCTGCTGTTTGCTGCCATGCCTTCTACAAGCGATTCCCTGTCTTCTGCTATACCTGACTATGCTGATTCCCTACCTGCTGCCCAGCCGGACTTTGACGATTCCCTACCTGCTGCCTAGCCGGACTATGCCCATTCCCTACCTGCTGCTCAGCCGGACTATGCCCATTCCCTACCTGCTGCCCAGCCCGGATTCCCTATGCCTTGTTCCTTGCCAATAAACCTGCTGCCGATATTAGATTGGGGTAGGCTGGGGCAAGTTGAACTGGATATGTGGCTTTTACTTACCTTTGGAAATTTTTCACGCTAGTGACAGCCCCCCAGATGTTCAGATACTGAATGTTTAAAAAGCCAGTTATAGACCTGGGCAGGTGATCAGTTTTTTCTCTGTATAGGCTTTGTAGGTTCAGTGGGTGCACTGGACTCCCTAGCTGCCGTTGTGCAATAGGCTGGGTGTCAGGTGCGCTCCCATAACCTTTTTAATGAAGGGTGGGGCTCCCCTCATGTTTATCTGCCCTTGTTTCTATCCATTTAAATGCATGTGCCTCCACTGTGAGGACTCTTTAGACTTGTAGAGTTAGGACCACAGATACTCAGGGTGCCGTGACGCGGCTCTGTGGCTTACGTATGTATTTGCAAATGTGTGCTAACTAAACCTGCTGTTTTTAAACGCATGTTTCCAGACAGGTTAATTTGGTTTTTTTGATAGTTGGCTAACTGGCTGACAGTTTGAACTGGCTTTTCTTATCCCCCTTGTTGATAAGATGTACATATCCTTGTTCCTTGCCAATAAAAGCCGATATTAGATTGGGGTAGGCTGGCAAGTTGAACTGGATATTTTTACTTATTTGGAAATTTTCTCACGTAGTGACAGCCCCCCATGTTCACTGTTTAAAAAGCCAGTTATAGACCTGGGCAGGTGATCAGTTTTTTCTCGGACTATGCCCATTCCCTACCTGCTGCCCAGCCGGGCTATGCCAATAACCTACCTGCTGCCCAGCTGGACTCTGACAGTATTATGCCCCCAGCTGCTGATGAGTCTGGGGCTTCTGGGTTTCCACTGTCATGTGGCTTTCATGGGTTACCTGTCTGGTTTAAGATCTCTTGTTGGCTGTTCCAAGGTCTTTTTGCAGCTATTTACTCCTGTTGCCCCTAAGCCAGGAGGTCCAGATACTGTGAATGTGATAACTCCACCCGCTATTACAGACCTAGTAGTAGAGGTCTTCTAGGGAAGGGCAGAGTTCCATTTGAGCTTTGTCCTGACCTAGGCCATATCTCTATAATCCCAAGTGCATTTGGGGACCCAGGTCGGGTTACCTATGCCCTGGGTAGACCTGAGTGGCAGTGAAAATATGTAGCAGTCTCTAGCTACTTAAATGGGGAAGGTTCAGTTGTGATGGAACACCCTGGTATCAGGGTATCAATATGGACCAATGACTCTGGTGTTAAGCCTGCAGGCTGCCTGTGGAGTCCCAGCATTGGGGCTTATGCTGCATTCAAGAATTGTAAGCTCCAAGTATTGCACCTCCTCGGGTGTCTGACCAGCAGGGAGCCCAACCAGTTTTTGAACCTCGGCAGTGGGGTACTCAGTCAGCCTCCAGAGCCCAGCAGTGGGATACTCAATCAGCTTCCAGACCCAGGCAGTGGGACATGATGGAGTATGCAGAGGCCACTCATTAAGGTGGGGGAACTGTCAGGACATGGTTCACCTGTAGTTTCTGTGTCCACCAGCAGGTTCCAGCAATCAGCTCCACCTGGCCACACCTGCTGGGAGAGTACTTAAGCTACACATCTGCTATTGCTCCTTGCATCAGTGCTTTGATTGCCTTCTTTGCTTCCAAATACTTTTGCCTGTTTTCCTGCTCCTGAGCTAGCCTTGCATCCTGTACCCTCCTGCTTTATTTCTGCTCCCCTTTTTCCTCTACCTAGTCCTAATTTCCCCTTTCCTTGCATACATGGAATGTATATATTTTGTATATATTGTATATAATTTGCTAGTTTTTTGTTACTTAGGCATTTTTGGTTGTGGGTCAATTGTCGTTTATGTTTGCTAGTTGTTGGTGTGTGGTTATCTTTTTAACTGTAAATAAATCTCACTTTAAAGACATATTTGTATGCTCTTTGGTCCCAGTTTCTTGGTGTAGCAATACAGATCTGGTCATCCAGTCTCCCTATCCAGCAAACCTCTGTCCTTAACCTAGTCCCATATTGAATGATACAGAATATCTTACTGAGGGACTTCATTGTCAGGATAGATGCCCAAATCTTGCAGGATTTCAGCATCCAGTAAGATATGTTGCCCTCACCAAAATGACCATCTGAAGGCCATAGCAGGAGACAAATTAGTCCTCTCCAGGGGCGGATTGACAACTCATGGGGCCCCCCGGGCAATAGGGGATCATGGGGCCCCTGTGTCCTTGCCCAAACTCAAAAAAGCCTATGAAAAAGGTACCAGGGGCATCTCATGGGGCCCCCTACTGACCGCGGGCCCTCAGGCAGTGCCCGAGTTTCCAAATGGTCAGTCCGCCCCTGGTCCTCTCTGCTAGCCAGAGGAATCAGCACCCTCAAGTTGGCAGATATACTGCAGCCCAACACCTGTGTACAGGTGGGGGAATATTCAAAAAACGGTAGGACAAATGGAGAAAGCACAGATCTATAGAATGGGTGAAGTAGGTGAAAATTAATCTCTGGTTGGCAGCACAGCAGGGACATCACCACTTCTTATTCTAAAACTCATGAGACTAGCAATCATAGACATAAGTCCCTTAAAGCAGAGCTGGCACTAAAATGCGAGGTCACAGATGTGGCTGTAAAATAAAGAAACAAAAATAAAGAAAATGTATTCCAATACTCACCTTGGTCCTGGGTCCTGGCTGCTGCCTATCACAGAGGTCACTGGGCATCACAAAGGGATCCTTTGAAAAGTTAAACTGGTTGTAAAGGCTGAAGGTTTTTTACCTTCATACATTCTAAGCGTTAAGGTAAAATACCTACTCTGTGCAGCATCCCCCCCAGCCCCCCTATTACTCACCAAAGCCCCGTTTGATCCAGCGAAGTGCACTGGAGTCTCCGCTATCCCGGGACTCCCTCTCCTCATTGGCTATGAATCACTTTAAGGATTCCATTTCCCATGAAGGGGATCTGGTCCTAATGACACTACCACTTATGTGAATGGATAATCTTTCAGCCAATTAAGGTCTGGAGCTGGTGATGTAGTACACACTATGGTTTTTACTTTTATATATGAGTAATCAAGTTTAGTTGCCTTCAATGTCCCAATAGAGGTTTTTTGTATGGATTCTTGAAAAAGGATGCTACAGCACTGTACAGGAGCATGTTCCAACAGGATTTGGCATGCTCAGGTTTCCTAGAATCCCAGAAGAAGACCTACTGACATCACCTTGCCTAGCTTACTAAAAGCCTGGAGGCAATGTATTTTTTTCACACTACAGATATACAGCTATCAGTCTCTTGGCATAGCAGTGCCTAGGCATAAATGGACATGTACTGCTATTTTTCTGGAGGAATTTTAGACAAAAGGTACATTTGTTTGAGAATTACTTAGGTACAACCATTATTTCTAGGTGTTCTCTATAGAATAATACATTTTACAAGACTGAATTTAGATTCGCTTTAACTATAGCTTGCATACTGGCATTGTTATGTAAATGTCATATCTACATCTCTATAGCATAGTATAGGCTAAGAGGACTATGCAATTTTTGTGTGTTTTAACAGGGTCTGTGAGATTGAGACATTCTCTGGCTAGAGCTTTAGTCCTGTCTCATCAATTGTGTCCCTCACAAAGCCCTAGGCTATCTGCACAGACATGAATACTTACCCAGACCTGCTACAAGCAAATATAAGCACTGAATGTGTCAGCATCAGTTAAAAGAGAAGTATGTTTTTTTTTTTTTTTTTTAAATGAAACAATTATACTCACCTAGGTGAATGCAGCATTGTTCCAATGCTATATCTGTCTATCACTGCTTCTAAGACTGAGAACTGAGCAGTTAAAGACCACTGATTGACCACTGAGCCTTCAGTGAGCAGAGAGCGGTGACTATCAGTCACCAGCTCTCTGCTTTGTCCCTCCAGTGCTTACTGGAGCACTGGGCTGTGGAGGAGGTGGGAGCAGCTGGCTCAGGCTCTTGGCAGATTGCTGAAAGTCTGAGCCATCTGCCATTCCCGGCATCTGGGTGGATCCCGATTCTTGGCTCCCAACTGTTTTGCCTGCTGTTAGTTGAAAATGGGTCAAAGGAGTGCAGAACAAACTTGGTGTTTGGATCCCAGGAGAAGTATCACCAACAAGTTTTGGCTATACATCTCCTTTAAGAACCACAATGCACCAAGTAAACTACTTTATGCCATCTGTGTCCCATTGGATAGATTTCCCTTCACTTTCTGTCCCTTACCCAAAACAGTGAGAGGCAAAACCTTCAAAGTGAGGAAGTCCCTTTTTGTTAAGAGGGTCACAGAACTAGTATCCCCATTGGAAGATATCCCCTCTATCACTTTTTTGGGGGCAAATAAAAAAAATGGGATTTTCTTTTGCTTTCACCTTTGATGAAAACAGTAAATAGGACTAGAGGAATAGAGGGTGAATCTCCCTAACAGGGGCACTGGCAGCAATTTCAGCAGATGTTCTAATCCCTCTCCACACTATCTAAAGCTAAAATAAAGTTTTGCCTTTATATATATATATATATATATATATATATATGCTAGGTTGAAATAGTTAGATTTAGTTTGTATTTTGATAGGTACATTTATTTGTCACACTGTAGACAGTATGAATGCAATTGTTGTTAGGTAAAAGCATAACTTCCACACTGTGATCAGTGTACTGTGTTCTGCTACTTAGGTCTGCTCAGTTTGCTCAGCTGCTGCCAGCCTGATAGCTCCCTCTGCGTCCAGGAGGCTTGAGAAGTTTCTGGATAATAGACATGGAGCTATGCAGATGGCAGCATGAATATTGATCTAGCCTTGGTGTATCCCAGAGAGAGAGGCTCTGATGGCATGCTGGGTATTTGTATTTATTCAGTGAGCAGACTGAGTTCTGGGTCTTTCCTGTATAAGATTGTCCCAGCCTGGGAGAGGGCATGTTGCCCTCCCAGGCAACTACCGCTGAGGACCTGAATGCTGAGACCCGGGTTCTACTAAAGCAAAGGGCCTGTCTACTGAAGATCTGGCCTGGTATCACGGAGCAAGTTGTCAATCTGCTCTTGGGTCTTGTGAGTACAGACATCTCTAAAAGATCTTAGAGACTGTGTGCTATTTAACCCCCTCTGGTGCTAGGCAGTCAGCTGTGGGTCTAGGCAAAAGGGGACACTGGGAAGGTGGAGCACAGAACCTTCTTCAGGTTGCTACTAATATCCCAGCACACACCTGACCAATCAGTTTGCTGGTGGTTCCGAATACCTGGACCCAGGACTGGAGGTTTCCTCCCACCCAGATTGCTTTGAAATCTCCAGGCTGCAGGTCCCAAAAAATGGACTTTCTAAACAATGAGGAAACTGAAAAGTCGGTTACCTCCTAATCAAGCAACCCCCAAGATCCCCTCAACCTGCTTGGTTGAGAATTCTAAGTTCACATCACCCTGGTGGGACATTTCACTGCCACTATCTATCTATCTATCTATCTATCTATCTATCTATCTATCTATCTATTTATTTATATATGCTGTGATTGGTCAGGGGAGCATGGTGGCTGAACAAACTACCCAATACAGGCATGCTATATGTCTGCACAGTGTCCCATATCTGTGTGTCAGGAATGGACTTGCCAATAGTGGTGGGACTCACCTGCCTTGTGGGCTGCAGTACCAGGGCTGGCCAGCGGGTGCTCTCAACAACCAGAGGCTCACTTCGGCAATTAGCCATCACCTGGGGCTGATTGCAGGTGGTGTATTTAAGGGATGGCCAGACCTGCAGTCTGTGCCTTGTTGTGCTGTTTTCTTGGCCCTGGTTTCCTGATCTTGTTTCTGCTGTCCTGACGCTGCCTGAACTCTGCCTGTACTGACCTCGGCTAGTCCTGACCACTCTCCCGCCTGCTCCTGTTATTCCGTTTGCCTGTTTGCTACCAACCCGGCCTGCCTGACTACTCTTGTATCGTATGTTTGTTATCTGTTGGAGGTTTGGTTCAGTTTGTTTGCACTGTGTTATGTTTAGTTTTGCACTGCGTTTGTATTGTTAGTCTTAATAAATTATATTATTTACTATATCTGAAGCCTACGTTTCCCTGTGTCAGTCCACACACTTCTGGTCACACCCGCATCCCTGACACTCTACATGGCTGGCCAATAGATGAGAAGTGACCACACAAACACAAATCAGCTTCTGTGCTGTGTGTGGTCAGTTTAGAACTAGGAAGAAAGGGGATTGGCCAGATCAACTAGGTACTTCCGATGGAAGAAGTACATAAAAATAATAAGGGCTATGATTTATAAAATACATATATGTTAACACATGCATAGAAAAAAAAAAGAAGTATTTAGGGTAATATACTCTTTAGGGTTTACTTTTGCTTTAAGTTTTGTCTGGAGATGGGCTTTAAAGTAGACATGTAAATGTCATTTCGTAATGAATCGATTTTTGGGCGAAAATTTCAGAATGGACAGCGTAATGAATGTCAACGTATCTGAGAAAAGGTATAACGAAATTAATGAACACATTCATTTCATTCAGATAACGTCACATGATGCAATAGTAGGTCTGGCCCATGGGGAAATGAATAACATTTTTTAATTTGTTTGACAATTTTTAATTGTCACAGTCAGTCAGTTCAGTTCCACACTCTAATGCAATTCTTAGGTTTGAAAAATTTGTGGCAGCTGAATTTTGCATTATTTATTTAATTGCATCCGACATATCAAATCCTTCTGGTTACATTTTTCAAATCCACCCAGACCAACAAAATTATTATTATTATTATTATACAGTATTTATAAAGCGCCAATAGTTCGCTCAGCGCTGTACATTACAAAAGGGGACAGAACATGTGACAGAACAATACCGATACAATGCAAAACATGAGGGGATTGAGGGCCCTGCTCTTTCGAGCTTACAATCTAGGAGGGAGGGGATGGTGGCACAGGAGGAGATAGCTGTGGGGGATGGAGTGGTAGGAAGAGTGGAGGAGGTCGGCAAGTTAGCAGGGGGTGGGGTAGGCTTCCCTGAAGAGATGGGTTTTCAGGGTGCGCCCAAAGGAGAGGAGAGTAGGTGATAATCTGAAGGGTTGGGGCAGAGAGTTCCAGAGGATGGGTGACACCCTGGAGAAGACCTGGAGGCGGGCATGGGAGGAGGAGACCAGGGAACTAGAGAGAAGGAGGTCTTGTGAGGAGCGGAGTGTGCGTGCTGGGCGGTACTTGGATATTAGGTCAGTGATGTAGTTCGGGGCAGTATGGTGGACAGCTTTGTACGTCAGCGTTAGGATTTTGAATTTGATCTGTTGCGCAATCGGAAGCCAGTGGAGGGATTGGCAGAGGGGGGTGGTGGAGACGAAATTATGAAACGAATCCCAAAATAGAAAGTTCAAAGTAACGAATATGACGAAACAAAATTCTTCAATGAATGAATGCATCCAAAACTAAGCAAACATTTTTAGCATGTACATGTCTACTTTAAAGCTGATGTTTTTCTTGTTAGGAATCAATAAAT